TACCAAAACAACCTCCTCTCTAATTACATCCTCAAGACTGTACATTAAATCCCTCTGCTTCCATACTCCCTGATGCGCAGAGAAATAATGTGTGACACTCTGCAGACTGCTGAGGCAACAATCATGCCTAACCAAGCATTTTTATATAATAACAAGCCTTTGCAAGAGCAAAATTACTTACTGATAAAAACTGCTGGGAAATTATTGATGATTCATGACATACTGGAAATAAAAGATAGAGATTAACAGAGCTGCCAACACCATCTCAAATCATACTATAGCTCACATCAGCTCTGAATCATAGGGTCACTGTGTCTCTATATAATAGATGCTGCTCTTTCATGCTGAAGGACAGCCGGTAATGGAGATCAATCATTACTGAAATAAACAGGCTGTGAACACCAAAACTGAACAAACTGCAGCTGCAGTCCCTTCACTGTGCATCAGTTTGTAACCCAAACACCTGCAGTGTCAGCAAAGGAGGGATTCTGTAAAGACCGTGCAGTGCAGATGCAGTTGCCCCCAACACAACATATCCCCCTGGCTTGGCATAAATCTGCTAATAACAGCCTGTGTCTGAAACGAGGATTTCTCATTTTAAAGATTAAAGCTGGCAGTTTGCAGCGCACGCGAGCCTGCTCCGTCAATGACTGTTTGAAAAGGGCTTCAGCTAAGACTAATATGAACGACCGTCTCAGCTGCAGCACAGGTTACATCACGCCTGAGGGCAAACCTGTAACTGAGGAGAGAGCTCACCTGGTCATATAATCTGATTCAAACAAACTAAGGAATCTGTTTATTCTCCTAATACCCTGACCGAGCAGAAAAATGTTTTGAGCGTCCTAACTCGTTAACATTTTGTTGGTAAGCAGCAGATCATTTTCGAGCCACATTCTGTGTCAGCATTAGACGAGGAAATCCGCACTGACACACTTTAATCTTGATATAATGACAAACCAGCCTCAATTCAAGGAGCATTTCTGTGGCTGCTGAAAAGCTTAATGGATTAACTGATTAGCTAATCAACAGATAATTAGTTGACAACAACCTTTATATGACTGATTAATAATTTTAGCTGTGTGCTGGGGCATGTGAGGATTTTCAGCTTTTCTCTGCCCTGTGTTTCTTTGTATCTTCAAGATTTGGACTGTATGTCGGACAAAAACAAGCAGCTGATAAAAAAGGGTTCATCGATAATGAAATAATCATTAGTTTTGGCCCTTATTGGGCTTTAGGGATGTGGTGATGTACTGGATACTGATATGAAAACACTACACGCAGACAAAGTTAGTAACTCGCAGTTGGAAGCTAGAAAGAGAGTGAGCTTTACTTCTCTGATATCAGATAACAAATGGCATCAGAGAGGATCTTATCCATACAGCTTTGTCCTAATAGGAGCATGACTGTGCCGAACCATGACACAGCATCTTCAAACATACTTCAGGGCACACATTACACGTCAGATTACGGAGCAAAATTGAATCTCTTAATAATAAAAATGACAAAGATGTAAAAGTAAACCAGGCGAAACGAAACCCTCTGAGGCAGGCTGATGACACAACAGGGAGGGGTGAGACTTGGTCCGCAGATCAAAACCAGAGCCTTGAATCTTCTCCTGTTTGTTCTCGTGATCAGTGTCTGGCCTGTAGCAGCCAACTGCGACTCTATTACCTCTGCCTCTGAGCTCCAATTGTTGCTTCAGCAATCTGAGCCCGGTGCAAGAGATCGGCTTCAGGCAAATTTCACTCTGCCACCTTTATTTTTTTTGCCTTGTGCATATACATGTTTTTAACCCAGCGTCTACTATCGGGTTAATCACCAACCAATTCCTCAAAAGCGACAGACCCTGAGGAGTGGAGTGAGGAGCAGCAGGTTGTTATCATACACAAAGGTGACAAATAAAGCAGGTGCTCAGGTCACCATGGAGACAACAGCAGGAAAACATGGAGGGGAATGCAAACATGTTTACATGGCAGTGGGGGAAAAGTGTTTGCCCAAGGGCACAGAGACAGAGCAGGCTTCATTAGAGGAGATCTTAATACCTGTGAAACACTACTTACAGGCAGTGTGTGTGTGTGTGTGTGTGTGTGTGGATCATTACAGACTGTGACTGTGCCAATGAACAATGTTCATAAATCCCCCAAAACAGTGTTTATAAGGCACCACGTGTTATGGATATGGAGCTATTAGTTTTTTAATCCATTTTTCTCCCTGCAGAAAAGATTTCTTTTCCTTGTCTTTTTTTCTAAACATTGAAATTTGTTCTTGTTTTCTTCAGCCAGTCAGTTTATAGCTGAGGGAGCAGGGGGGTAACAGGGGTTGGGAGATCGGGGCGTGACATAGGAGACAGGCATGCAACTCCAGACACTTTAATTCTCTTCCGCATCTCCGTCTTTTATCTTTTCTCCATTCTTCATTGCAGGTTGAGATTGAATTTATAAGACAGGGACAGATTTCGAGGCAATAAAGAACTCTGGAGTTGACCCAACTTTGCCAGCAGCCATTGAGCTCCTCCTTGCTCCCACACAAATAAATCAAGCCCCCCGATATCTTTCTCCTCGCAGTGACGTCAGAGAATTGAGTTTTCCATGTTACTCTCGGCCTCCACAGCAACCGGGGGGTGACACCGCCCTCCCCCTTGACCCGACCCAGGGAGAAACCTTTTTTTTTTTTTTCCACAGGGGTATTGTTCCCAACACTTGAATGGATTGCCCTCTAATTCATCTCAGCATGGATAATAGTGTACAAAAGCCAAGGAAGCTGGGGTCTGAGGTGCAGAACAAAACCAAGGGGCAGAGTTATAAAGCCATACATGCTGAAGTAAAAAGGGCCGGAGCAGTTAGTTCTGTTAGGAAACCACAATAACCAGCACGGCATTAACACTCAGTCTCACTCCTGTAATCACTTCAGTGTAAAATGAAATAACACAATCTCATCAAATAGTCCCAGTTTTCACCAGTTTTGTTTTCATGTGGCTGCTTGTTGTTTAAATCTGACAACTTAACCCTAAACCTACTAAACACTGAAACACATTATCAGCTCAAATACTGAAATATTTTAAACTATACCCAGCTCAAACACAACATTAACCTCATCATGCAAGTGGATAAACTGCCAATTCATCAGCACTTCTATAGGCCACAGTCACATGTAAAAAGAGCCGCACTAAAAATGACAATAATGATGAGACATATGATTCTGTGTGTTCACTGAAACAAACTCCATCATGGTATAACTTTGATTCTGAGTTACAAAACTATATAAATAAGTTTTTATAGGCGTTATTTGACCTCTTCTAATATCTCCCCATTACAATGTGAGTGACAGACTCACAAACATAGTAACAAACATTCACTATTGTGTACATTTAACACATTAGGTTACAAAATCTGCCATTTAATGTGTGGTAAAGTATATACGGAGGTGTCCAAGCACACGTGATAATCAAGGCAGGTTTAAGATGGTGAGAAGAAGCTGACATTTCCTTTGTTTTCACTCTGCCATTATACAGTAAAGCAACAGATCCGGGCCTCAAACTACACTAAATCTTCACAGTGATGTAATTTGGACGTGAACTGCATTGCAGGACATTGTGTGGTCACCCCACAGGCTCACACACACTGATAGCATCAATGGGGAACTGGGCTTTGCTGCTTGGTTGAAATGTCCAGCATACATGAAGCACACAGACTCCACTTCACACAGCACGAGCACTTCTCACAGCTGAGTTACAGCAGCTCGTTACATATCGTGCATACACACACACACACACGCAGACACACCATGATGCGGCGGCACCGTCCTGTTTGACTTACCGGAGGGATGAGCAGGCTCGTCGGGACACGTAATCCGCTCCGACGCCGTTGGAGTTAGTGGGAAATACTTTTCAGAGGAGAAAATCTGTGTTGCGTTTCAAGTTATCGGGCCCGTCAGGTGGGCTGCAGCACAATCACCGACACACACACTCACACACAGACACACTCTACCACTACCAGCAGCAGCAGCGGCGGCGGCGGCAGCAGCAGCAGCAGCAGGAGGAGCAGGCGGTGGCAGTGTGTTGTGAGCTTCCTCGTACGTGATTGGGCCAGGTGGAACAGGCGCGTTCACGTGTCCCACTATCGCGCGCCACAAGGAGCTTGTGACCACTGGTGCAATCACAAGGCTGCAACCAGTGGTGAGGTGGCCAAGGTGAGTTTACTCCTTCCTGCACTACCGTGAGGACCTGATGCGCTTTGTTGCACGTCACAGTAAACTCAGGGGCGTTGCCATCCATTAAGCTCTACTGGGGCAAACACGAGAGATGCATAAAAATGAACACTTAATTGCAATGCCACATATGAAGTATATAGACTTATATGCCCATGTAATTGTTTTCACATAGAGCGCAGTAAAAGGTGCCTCAAAGACAGGGTGGCAGGGCTTAAATATGCCACAAGAACCACCCTAACCACGAGTCATCACAATGGACATGACTATTTCTTGAAAGTGGAGGGTGTAGACTGGTGGTGGGGGTGGGGGGCACTCAACAAACTACTCAAATGGGAGACATTTTGGGTAATTACACTCAATGCCTTAACTATTCAGGCCATTGATTTTAGACCCTTCTTGTAAGAAAATGTCAGTTTGTTGATACTAGATACTTTTTCTAGTTGAAACATATTGTCCTCTGCATGAGCCACATTGCTACCCACTTTAGCTATATGAGGGACCTCTACCTGTAGTCCTGGTTTCTCTCCAGCCAAGAAGACCAGTGTTGGTCGAAACGGTCGGCATTTCACCTGTAAGATTCCCTCATTTACTAAAGGCTTTTAGTCTATAATCCTTGGCTCTAGTGAGTGAGTCCCAAAGCAAGCCCAGTGCTTTTTCAGTCTTCAAAAGAAAAATGCTGTTGTTTTTTTGAAGTATATCTTTGGGCTTTTCCACCTTCTTTATTTGATAGTACAGTATGAGGGAGACAGGAAATGGGGAGGCAGAGAGGAAGACTGACATGTGATAAAGGGCCGCACGGTGCGGGATTTGAACCAGGGCTGACTGCAGCAAGGACTGTAGCTTCTGCATATGAAGCACCTGCTCTACCCACTATGCCACCCTGCAATTTCAGGGCAAGTGATATTTCACTAAGTCTGAACTATCTGACAGCAGTTATGACTTTCATTCATTCAATAATAATAATAATTTATCGACTTATTAGGAAGAAAGGCTTTATCATCCTAAATTGAGCACATGTTGGATTTAAAACATCTTAAGAGCTTTACACACTTTATTTTGACCTCTCTGTCTCGCTCCAAATTTTCACTTATCACTGATTAATATTTCTCTGTCGTAGGTATTTTTGTTTTATTCAAATGTTCTAAAAACAAGAAAATGTAACTGGATCCATCAAGGGTCTGAGATTTGCTGGACAGGGTCACTATAGGAGGAAACAAGGGCCATGATTTGTAAGAAGAAATTTACTAATTAGTTTGTTGGTTGTGTTGACCCCTGACAAACAATAGTCATTTACCTAACCTTTAGTTTCTCTTCTGCCTTTCAATGAGCATCACTCTGATGTTATCTGAGCCAAATAACACAATCAGGGCCACAATTCAAAGCTAGACTGAAAAATACAGATCAAAGATTACCAGGTTAAAAATGCTGAAGGTAACTTGCCTTTTGACTTGCCTTTTGACTTCAAGGTAAGGCAAATTGCCTTTTAACTTGCCTTTTGACTTGAATTATTCTTTGGCAATTCTTTGAAGCATCAAAATGTGAATGACTTTATTTGTAAAGGAACTACTTAATGAATAAACAGGACGAGGCAGAACAGATCGACTGTTCTTTAAATCATTAGACCATAAAATACACTTTTGTAAACCATCTTTGTGATACTGTCTGTATCTTTTCTGCTGCGGCCCAATGTCAACAAATCAGATAGCAAAGAGTCAGTCACTCACCCACTCCCCTCCAGCCGCTTGTGAGTTGTAGGGAAGCCGTGATGAGTCGATTACCAAATGCATCAGTGTTCCTGTCTGTTTCCTTATCTGTTTCTAACAATAACTAATGACTGTTGACAGGGAAATGAATGGAGTTGAGTTGCTGTAACTATCACAGTCAGCAAAGAAGCAAAGAACCGGTACTGAAACCGAACCGGTACCGGGACGAGAACCGGTACCCGAACCCGAACCGGGACCGGGACCGGGACCGAAACCCGAACCGATACCGGTACCGGAACCGGGACCAGAACCGGTACCCGAACCCGAACCGGTACCGGGACCAGAACCGGTACCGGAACCCGAACCGGTACCGGAAACCGAACCTGTACTGAAACCCGAACCGGTACCGGAACCGGGACCCGAACCGGTACCGAAACCCGAACCGATACCGGGACCAGAATATGTTCCGGTACCGGAACCCGAACCAGTACCGGAACCCGACTGGGAAGGGTCCTGTTGCAACGCTTCTCCTGTGTTTGACTTTATATCAAAATGAACTGTGGTCAATTTCCTGATGTAAAGTCAATGTCAATGCTGACTGAAAGTGAGAGGACAAAAACTGACTTTATGATGTGACAATGGGACCCTCACACACTTCATGTGAACCAGTCTAAGTCATATACAGTCTATGGTCTTTAAGAGACCGGACTGGAACTCAGACATTAACATGACGGACTAGGCCGGGGACACAAGGGCCCAATTCCCTGACACCTCTCAAGCCCTGAACCCTGACTGACTTAAGGTCAGCTGTAATGAATAAGTGTGAGAGCCTGAAAGGGCCCACATTCTGTGATAGGAATGGGACAGAACCAGGACAAGGACATAAATTGACTTGATGATTTGACAGTGGGACACTCACACACTTAAAGTGAACCATCCTAAGTCATATACAGTGTATGCTCTGTAAGAGACCGGGACTGGAACTCAGCCATTAACGTGACCGACCAGGCCAGGGACACAGTAAAGTGACAGACCAGGTTGGGAACACAAAGGCCCAATTCCCTGACACCTCTCAGGTCCTGAACCCTGACTGATTTAAGGTCAGGTGTAATCAATGAGTGTGAGAGGGATGGGACAGGGCCAGGACAAGGACATAAAGAGACCTGATGATGTGACAATGGGACTCTCACACACTTCATGTGAATCAGTCTAAGTCATATACAGTCTATGGTCTTTAAGAGACCGGACTGGAACGCAGACATTAATATGACGGACTAGGCCGGGGACACAAGGGCCCAATCCCCTTCTCCCTCTTAAGCCCTGAACCCTGACTGACTTAAGGTCAGCTGTAATGAATAAATGTGAGAGCCTGAAAGGGCCCACATTCTGTGATAGGAATGGGACAGGACCAGGACAAGGACATAAATTGACTTGATGATTTGACAGTGGGACACTCACACATTTCAAGTGAACCAGCCTAAGTCATATACAGTCTATGCTCTGTAAGAGACCAGACTGGAATTCAGCCATTAAAGTGAGGGACCAGGCTGGGGAGGGCCCAATTCCCTTCCGCTTCTCAGTCCCTGAACCAGGACCACCGGAACGGGTACCAGGACCATACCAGAATGCAAAGGTTACTTTAACTGGGAGTAAGACCAGGACCAGTACTAGAACCGGAACCCGAACCGGTACCGGTACCCGAACCCGAACCCGAACTCGAACCGGTACTGAAACCCGAACCGGTATTGGAACCGGGACCAGAACCGGTACCGGTACCGAAACCCGAACCGGGACCGGGACCAGAACCGGTACCGAACCTGAACCGGAACCCGAATCGCTACCGGTATCCGAACCCGAACCGGTACCGGTACCGAAACCCGAACCGGTACCGGTACCCGAACCGGGACCAGAACGGTACCCGAACCGGTACTGGTACCCGAACCCGAACCCGAACTTGAACCGGTACTGAAACCCGAACGGTATTGGAACCGGGACCAGAACCAGTACCGGTACCGAAACCCGAACCGGGACCGGGACCAGAACTGGTACCCGAATCGCTACCGGTACCCGAACCGGGACCAGAACCGGTACCCGAACCGGAACCGGGACCCGAACCGGTACCGGTATCAGAACCCGAACCGGTACCGGTACCGAAACCCTAACCGGTACCCGAACCGGTACCGGAGCCCGAACCGGTACCCGAACCCGAACCGGTACCGGGACCAGAAGCGGTACCGGTACCGAAACCCGACCGGGAGGGGTCCTGTTGCAACGTTTCTGACGACATCTCCTGTGTTTGACTTTATATCAAATGAACTGTGGTCAATTTCCTGATGTAAAGTCAATGTCAATGCTGACTGAAAGTGAGAGGACATAAACTGACTTTATGATGTGACAATGGGACCCTCACACACTTCATGTGAACCAGTCTAAGTCATATCCAGTCTATGGTCTTTAAGAGCCCAGACTGGAACTAAGACATTAATGTGACGGACCAGGCCAGGGACACAGCAAAGTGACAGACCAGGTTGGGAACACAAAGGCCCAATTCCCTTCCGCCTCTCAGGCCCTGAACCCTGACTGACTTAAGGTCAGGTGTAATGAATGTGAGAGTCTGAAAGGGTCCAGATTCTGTGATAGGAATGGGATAGGACCAGGACAAAGACATAAAGTGACTTGATGATGTGACAATGGGACACTCACACACTTAAAGTGAACCAGCCTAAGTCATATGCAGTCTATGCTCTGTAAGAGCCCAGACTGGAACTCAGCCATTAACGTGACGGACCAGGCCAGGGACACAGCAAAGTGACAGACAAGGTTGGGAACACAAAGGTCCAATACCCTATCGCCTCTCAGGCCCTGAACCCTGACTGACTTAAGGTCAGCTGTAATGAATGCGTGTGAGAGCCTGAAAGGGTCCAGATTCTGTGATAGGAATGGGATAGGACCAGGACCAGGACATAAAGTGACTTGATGACGTGACAATGGGACACTCACACACTTAAAGTGAACCATCCTAGGTCATATACAGTCTATGCTCTGTAAGAGACCAGGACTGGAACTCAGCCATTAACGTGACGGACCAGGCCAGGGACACAGTAAAGTGACAGACCAGGTTGGGAACACAAAGGCCCAATTCCCTGACACCTCTCAGGTCCTGACCCTGACTGATTTAAGGTCAGGTGTAATCATGAGTGTGAGAGGGATGGGACAGGACCAGGACAAGGACATAAAGAGACCTGATGATGTGACAATGGGACTCTCACACACTTCATGTGAACCAGTCTAAGTCATATACAGTCTATGGTCTTTAAGAGACCGGACTGGAAGTCAGACATTAACATGATGGACTAGGCCAGGGACATAAGGGCCCAATTCCCTGACACCTCTCAAGCCCTGAACCCTGACTGACTTAAGGTCAGCTGTAATGAATAAGTGTGAGAGCCTGAAAGGGCCCACATTCTGTGATAGGAATGGGACAGGACCAGGACAAGGACATAAATTGACTTGATGATTTGACAGTGGGACACTCACACACTTCAAGTGAACCAGCCTATGTCATATACAGGCTATGCTCTGTAAGAGACCAGACTGGAATTCAGCCATTAAAGTGACGGACCAGGCCAGGGACACAGCAGAATGGGACAGGACAAGGACATAAAGTGACTAGATGATGGGACTCTCACACACTTCATGTGAACCAGCCTAAGTCATATACAGTCTATGGTCTCTAAGAGACTTGACTGGAACTCAGACATTAACATGACGGACTAGGCTGGGGACACAAGGGCCCAATTCCCTTCCGCCTCTCAGGTCCTGAACCCTGACTGACTTAAGGTCAGCTGTAAAGAATGAGTGTGAGAGCCTGAAAGGGTCCAGATGCTGTGATAGAAATGGGACAGGACAAGGACCAGGACATAAAGTGACTTGATGATATGACAATGGGACTCTCACACACTTAAAGTGAACCAACCTAAGTCATATACAGTCTATGGTTTTTAATCAACGAATGTTGATTCAACACTGTTTCAATGACTCTTTGCTATCTGAGATGTTTCTTTGCTGATCCATGGGTGTGACTTTCCACCGAGTTACAGACTTAAAACCCCAACAAACAAGACACTTAAAGAAAAGAAACTTTTATTTTCCCAAAGAGGTTACACAACATTCTGATTCCTT